CTGTTTCCTCTGGGGTCGGATTGGCTGGCCCTGTCTTTGCAGGACTTGGCCTGTCCCTCCGGGTGGTCCAGTTGTGGGCATGGTGCAGTTCAGGTGTTCCTCCTTCAGCACCAGGGGACCTGGGTGTGGGGTGTCCTTTCCTTTGTTCTGTTGCTGGTAATTTGTACCCTTTCATTTTGCTGACAGTTGATTATATTGACCTTTACAGAGAACCAGCTTTTAATTTCCTTTATTTTCCTATTGATTTCTTATTGCAATTTCATTGATTTCTGCTCTCTACGATTTTCTTGTCTTCTGCTTACTTTGGATTTAAGTTACTATTTCTCCCCAAATGTGCTGAGGTGAAAGTTTAGATTATTGATTTTTGGCTCTTTCTTCTTTGCTGGTGTGTTACTCGGCTTGCTGTTGACACACCTGAGGTAATGAACCCGAGAGGATAGAGATGCCCAGGGCCCAGTCCCGAGGGTCCAGTCCCTGGTCAGGAAGCCATGAGGCAGGCAGCCCTGCCAGGCAGTACGGCCGCAGAAGATCTGCATGCCCTGTCCGGGGCACACCCCTGCTCCCTGCAGACCTCCCCACAGTCCCAGCCCTTGAAGTCACACACCTCCCAGCAGCCCTGGCTGAGGACTGAGCCTTGTTGCCAGCCTTTGGGGGATATTGAAGTTCCACACGGTAGCATCTGAGCTCCAGCCCCCGAAGGCTCGCATCTGTCTCACAGTGCAGAGTACACTGTTCTGTTCTCAGGGCCCCAGAGCCCTGCTGCTCCAGCATTGCTCAAAAAAGTGCAAATTCGGCCAGGTGTGGTGGTGCACTCCTCTAATCCCAGCACTTGGGAGGCTGAGGCAGGGAGATCACCATGAGTTTGAGGTCAGCCTAGACTATGTAGTGGGTTCAAGGTCATCCTGGACTACATAGTGAACTTAGTCTCAAAACCACAAAACAAGAAAACAGTCCAAGTCCACACTCTCCTCTGCAACTGCAGGCACTCTTTTCCCTTCAATGGGGTTGGGATCAAAGTCACGGCTGCACATGCTAAGCACGTGCTCTCCACTCAGCCGGCTCCAGCCCTTGAGGCCAGTCTGCCCATTGGAGGTGCAGTGCTGGACAGGACGGGGTTCATCCCATCTGTCTTGGTTACTTGTCATGTTGCCAGACAAAATACCCAGCGCCCAAAGTGAAAGAGGAAAAGGGTTATTGGGTTCATGGTGTGTAGAGGTTTTGGTCCATACCCGGCCGGCTCTGAGGCAGCATGGCTTCGCAGAGGAGAAACAGCTCCTAGTGGCCAGAAGGTAGCAGAAGCAACAAGCGAGGGAGACGACAAGCCTCTCTATGTCCCTTGCGTTGTATCCACACTTCTGGGTTTAGGGCAGTGCCAAACTGACGGGGGGACTGACCGAATAATCGCCCACCCTTAATCCCAGCGTTGCACAGGAATCAATCACACACTGTAGATCAGCCACCTCCAAAGAGGCCCACCTCCAACTGCGTGAGGCTTTGGGGGGCATCCAGGTACCGCTGTCACCCCATCCCGAGGGCAAGGCGCAGAGCACCGAAAGCCATCAGGGCAGCGTGGAGCCCAGGCTGGCACACTGGGCCAGCCCTGGCCCGAGGGCCTCAGCAGGCTTGTGTGGGGCCACAGCCCTCTGTGACGGCGCTGCTCACGGCTGCCCCTCCATCTGCCTGGCTGCAGGCTGTGCGTGCAGGCCTTCCTGAGCAGGGGGCTGGTGCTGAGGACTCAGGCTGCGCTCACCTGCCCGGTGGGTGGTGGGGTGGGCTTGGGTCTCTGTGCGCCCCCGTAGGCCTGGCTGAGAAGGCCCCCTTTGTAGGTCCTGGGAGGGAGCAGGGCGTGTGGTGCAGATGTTGTTGGTTTGGGCTCGTGAGTTGAGGAAAAAGAGCCCTTTGATGGCTCGCCTGCTCTCAGCGTTGGTCTGCTTTGTCATTTTGAGATGCAGGGAAGGAACCCAGGCTGTGCACCGCCTCTGAGCTACGTCCTCAGCCCTCTGTCCAGTCTCAAAGTATTTTGGATAAATTTGGGACATCAACCTCACTAGTATTTTTTTTTTATTATTTTAAAGAGAGTTAAAAGAAAAAAAGAGAGTAGTTCATGAGAAACAAACAAAAAAATAGAACAATAGCAGCATACCAGTATCACGAACATAAACAAATCAAAGCAAAAACATTCAAAGTGATTCAGGGTATTGAGACAAATTAATACAAATCAACAGTGGTTGTTACGTTGCATACCGCTATCCTCAGATTATCTGATGTAAGAATGAAAGATTGCTCAAACCATTAAAGAGATTGAGAAAATAATTCTTCAATAAACATTAGAGATATTAGAGAGTTTCACTAGACAAGATGGTAGGAGTTCATCACTGTAATTCCATTGCATATTGTTACCTTCAAATCAGTTGCTCAGACCACCAGACACAAGCATGCAAAGTCGATCAGAACATAAAAAATTGTGAGCATTAACTGTTCACTTCAGTACACCATCAGACATCAGCAATACAGTCATTGCAGCTATTCATATATACATTTATGTTTTGCCTTCTTTCTTTTTTATTCTTTCCCTCATCCCAGTCATTCCTTCCTTTGAGCAGTTTCTTTCCCTGTCCTATCATCTGTTGTACATTTTGAGTTTTACCTAGTCTTTCAGTTTCCTACACTGAAGAGACAATATGATGTTTACACACGTGGGTCTGATTTATTTCACTTATGAGTATGGTCTCTAGTTGCATCCATTTACCTACAAAAGCCTCAAGTTTATCTTTTTTTAATAGCTGAGTAATACTTCACTGTATAAAAATACCGCAACTTTTTTAATCCATTCTTCAGTGGATGGGCATCTGGGTTGTTTCCAAAATTTAGCTATTACAAATTGTGCTGCTATAAACATGGGTGCACATATATCGCTGTGGTATGATGTCTTTAATTCTTCTGGGAAAATACCTAGAAGGGAAATAGCTGGGTTAAAGGGAACTTCCAATCCTAGTTTTGTGAGGAATCTCCAAATTGATTTCCACAGTGGTTTCACCAGTCTACCAGCAGTGGAGTAGGGTTCCTTTCTCCAGCATTTGTTACTGCTTGATTTCTTGATGATAGCCATTCTTTCTGGGGTGAGATGGAATCTCAGTGTTGTTTTAATTTGCATTTCTCGAATGACTAATGATGTTGAACATTTTTTCATGTATTTATTCGCCATTAGTATCTCTTCATTAGAGCAGTGTGTATTCATCTCAGATGCCCATTTTTGGATTGGGTCTTTGAATTTGGGAGACCTGATTTCTTTTATTTCTTTATATGTCCTAGATAGAAGTCCTTTGTCTGAGGGACAGTTGGCTAAATTTTTTTCCCACTTCATGGGTTTTCTTTTTACTTTATTGGTGATTTCTTTAGATGTGCAAAAAGTTTTCAATAAGATGAGATCCCAGTTATTGATTCTTTGAATTTCCCATGCAGTTTGGTTTTTGTTCAAGAACTCTCTGCCTACCCCAGTGTCATCAAAATTTTTACCTACTTTCTCTTCCAATAAATTTAGTGTTTCTGTTTTAATATTTAGATATTTCATCCATTTTGACTTTAATTTAGTGCATGGTGAAAGACATGGGTCTAGTTTTAGTCTTCGGCATGTGGAAAGCCAGTTCTTCCAGCATCATTTATTAAAGAGACTATCTTCCTTCCATTGAACATGTTGGGCCCTTTGTTGAAGATAAGGTGACTGAGTGTGTTTGCAGTTGTATCTGTATCTTCTAATCTGTTCCATGGATCTTCAGGCCTGTTTTTGTGCCAGTACCATGCTGATTTTATCACAGTAACTTTGTAATATAATTTTAAGTCAGGAATTGTAATGCCTCCTGCCTTTCCTTTGTTTCCCAAGATTGCTTTTGCTATTCTAGGCCTCTTCTGGTTCCAGATGAACTTTAGGAGTGTTTTCTCTAGATCTGTGAGGTATATTAATGGCATTTCAATTGGGATTGCATTGAATCTGTACAACAATTTTGGGAGTATGGCCATTTTCACAATGTTGGTTCTTCCTCTCTATGAGCAAGGAATATCTTTCCATTTTCTGATATCTTCTTTGATCTCTTTTTTCAGAGTACTGTAATTTTCACTATATAGATCTTTTACTTCTTTTGTTAGATTGATTCCTAAATATTTCATCTTTTTAGATGTTATTGTGAAAGGTGTGGTTTCCCTAATTTCTCTCTCAGTCTGTTTGTTACTTGTGTACAGAAATGCTATTGACATTTGAGTGTTCACTTTGTATCCAGCTAGCTACTGGATTTGGTTATTAAATCCATGAGCCTTTTGGTGGAGTTTTTGGGGTCTTCTATGTAGAGTATCATGTCATCTGCTAATAATGACATTTTCACTTCTTCTCTTCCTATCCTTACGCCTTTTATTTCTCTCTCTTGTCTAATTGCTGTAGCCAGTATTTCCAGAACTATATTGAGTAGGAGTGGTGACAGTGAACATCCTTGTCTTGTTCCTGATTTTCAAGTAAAAGCTTTCCGTTTTTGACCATTTAGTGTGATGTTAGCTGTTGATTTATCATAGATGGCTTTGATCAGCTTGAACCTCGTTAGTATTTTATATGAATGGAGAATATTGCTTTCCCTGCTGGTGCTGAGGATGAGGCTCGGGGCCTCACACTGCGCTAACCCTTCCGCAGACGGGGCCTTCTGCAGACGGGGCCTTCTGCATCAGTTTCCCGCACTAGGCTTCGGTTTGCAGTCCTCCTGCCACGTGGGAGGACCCCAGGGTGCCCCCCACTCCCAGCCGAGAGAAAAATATTTTGTATAAATTTAAGAGAATATAAAGAGGGCGTGCAGGTTGCGTTGTGTGCTACTGTGAGGAAGCCACAGAACTTGGTCGGAGGTGTTTTGGTGTGTGTGTGTGGGGGGCTGCTGAGCCCTCCTGATGGGTGTGGTGGGTCTCGGCGCCTGGGGTGGCCAGGCCGCCCTCAGCCGCTGGGCGTTGCCATCTCTGTGCTGCAGGTGATCGAGTCCCTGGGCATCATCATCTACAAGGCCCTGGACTATGGCCTGAAGGAGAACGAGGAGCGCGAGCTGAGCCCGCCGCTGGAGCAGCTCATCGACCGCATGGCCAACACGACTGAGGCCGGCGGCAGCCATGACGAGGGCTACGGGGCGGCGGACGAGGGTGCTGAGGACGAGGACGAGGGCCGGTGGCAGCCAGGGGCCATCTGCTCCTACCGCGATGTCATGAAGGTACAAACAGAGCCTGTGATCACAGCGCCTGGGAGGCTGAGGCAGGAGGGTGGCAAGTTGGAGTCCAGCCTGGGCAGCATAGGGAGACCCTGTCTCAGAGTAAAAACTGTGTCTCAGAGTAAAGGGGTGGGATGTAGCCCAGTGCACAGGTCCCTGGACTCAATCCCCAGTACTAAAATACAAAACAGAAACCCTGGAATAAAAGAAACATGGGATGGTGATTCAGCATGTGGTGTGGCCCTCAAGGCCTTTGCAGCTGACCCTGACCCAGCATACCACGTCTGTCCACCTCTGTCCAGCGCCAGGACTGAGGGTCACACGTGGCCTCCAAGTGTCACCTGGCAGCGATGGCGTCCCTGCCTCCCTGACCTCCTCCCCAGGGCTTGAGTGCAGCGGCTTGGTGGGGTTGGGAGTTCCTCTCGGGCAAATCTGGCCGTGGAAAAGCGTGTGGTCCCCCGGGTGAGCACTGAGGGATGGGAGAGCCTGCGAGTGCTGGGTCTTAGAGAATTGAGGTGTGGCCTTCAGTTCTCAACATACTAGTGCTAAACCCTTAACGCACGCGGTAAAGTACCCCCATGCCCACAAACTAAACTTTGCTACTCTATTCACTTCACTTTTTCTAGGTGTTAAGTTTTAATTTTTAGAAACACACACTGGGAGGACATTGTGTTAGGTGGAATCAGCTGACCCAGAGAGACCAGCCCCGCCTGCTCCCTCCCTTGGCAGGAGGACCCTGAGCCGGGTGGAGGTGGCAGGGAGGAGGGTGACTGCAGAGGTGGTGGTGAGTGCGTGCGCAGGACACAACTGAGCCTGCGTCCATGTGCACGTTCCGGTGGGAGTGTGTGTAGCAGGAGCGGGGTGGGGTGCGTGTAAGTAGAGCCCAGGAGAGGCTACGCGGAGTCCACAGCCCCAGACGGCCCTGCTGTTCTCCTGAGAGCAGTGATTCCAGGCGGATGGCGAGGGGGACTGCGGTTTCCTCCTCGCTCACCCCAGGGCCGAGGTGGGGTGGAGTGGGTGGGAATCTCCAAAGTCTGGCTCAGCAGCGTTCGGTAAATGTGTTGACCACTGAAAACGGTGGACATTCAGCCATTTGAATGGGCACTTCTATCATTTTTAATTTGAGCTGTTATTTTTGTCCTAACTTACTGCCATCACCATATGAAAAATGCATTAAGAAAGTGCCATGGTGCTTAAAAAGACAGGTCTTACAGAGGGGAGGAAACCTGTGAGCTTCAAGTCCACTCAGCAGTTGACCCCATTTCTTGTACCCTCACTCTTGTTTCTTGGCTTCTGTGCTAATCAGAACTGGCCTGTAAATCCCCACATCTGTGACAGTGTGTTGTGAAGGGAGGGTAGCTGCTGAGACACCAACAAGTGCACTGAAATTCTAAAGGCTGGGACCCGCTGCTCATGGCAGAGGGACACGCACGCACCTGTGGTTTGGTTGCTGGGCTGAAGACTTCAGTTTGTAGACTGACTCCATTGCTAGAAGAGAAAATGGGAATTATCTGAAGATGTGGCCGGGAGAGAACGTGAAACTCGTGAGCCTCGTCCAAATGACACACAGCGGGCTCGGGTGTGTTTGTTTTCAGGTTCTTGCGAGCAGACGCTCTGCATCCCGTCTCATCGCACGCTGCCCCTGTCTTTACGCTCTGCGCCGGGACACACGAGGCGGCTGCTGGGACTCACTCCAGGGCTCCAGGCCCCTGACGAGGGGTCGGGCTACATTACAGGCCCAGAGTCGTGTCAGAACTGGAACGGGTGCTCTCCTCGGAGCTCATGCGAATCCGCAGGAGGGTGAGGGCTGCAGGGCACGCTCTCTCTCCTTGCCCACGAGGCCTGGTTCCACCCCAGTACTGCGGAAGAAGAACCCAGCGTCCAGATCTCACCCTTTCCGCTTATTTCCTCAGAAGCAGTAGTCACCAAGCCAGGCCCTCTCCAAGAAATACCCAGAAAAGATTTCTGGTGCAGTTGTTTCCTTTATCCTTCGTTTACTCACGTCCTTTTCTCCATGAAGTGAAGTCCGCACAGATGTAAAGAACGAGGAGATGGTGACGTGGGCCCTGTCTCAGGCTGCTGACTGCCCCTCTCGCGGCCCTGTGGAGGCACTGGGCCCGGGGATGCGCCTCCTCTTTTTCACGGTTATCCATGCTCTCAGTTTTGTTTTGAGCCCACGTTTGCAGTACAGTGATGATGCTGTCCCTGGGGAGTTGGTGTCTGCACGGAGCACAGCTTGATTCCTTTTCCCTCCGGTTGCCCGCCCCTTCCCTCCCTCTTCACCCCCTTCCCAACTGAGAAAGGTCCGTCGTCCTGTTTCCTGTTGCCTTCACATTTCTGTCTGCTTGTATTTGGGGTTTCTCACATAAGAGGACCGTGTGATGTTTAAGCTTGGGTGTCTGTCTGACTGATTGCATTAACATTCTGGTCTCGAGGTGCACCCGTTTTCCTTCAGATGACTCAAGTTTGTCTTTCTTTACACAAAAGTAACTGAGCCCCAGTGTGTGCTGTGCGCACTGGCAGCTGCTCATGCTCCGCTGTGAGATCTTCACTTCTCAGTCTCCTTGAGCCCCTGAGCTCTTCGGAACTGTGCAGAAGTTGCCCTTCCCCTGTGACAGCCAAGCCGTGTCAGGGAGTCTCGGAGAAGAAATTTTAAACCGCGTGAGATGCCTACTGTAAGAAAACGCGCAGAGCCTCAGTGTGAGGACATAAACTACGGGACAGTTTTACGCTTTGATTGGTAGAAATGCTGAGAATAAAGAGAAATGTGTGTTTTCAGTAATTGCACTAAGGTCAGGTTTGGGAGAGTGTGAGCACCTGCTCGAGCAGGGCCCTGTATCCGACACATCATGTGCCGGCCCCCACGCCCACTCTCCCTCCTCCCCTGAACAATGCCAGCCGTGGAGTGAGGGAGGGTGGGCGACCCCTGCCTGAGGGGCGAAGCGCTTCACACCCAGCCGTGGTGTGTGGCACGGGAGCAGCAGGAAACCTTGGTCCTTGTGTGGCGTCTCTGCCGACAGAGGCCGTGGTGCCAGTGGTCCGCACGCCTCGCCTGCTGTGAAATGGCCTCTTCCCGCAGGCTGGGGGTTTATGGGCCTCGCGAGCCAAGGACAGTGAACTGGAGGTCACCCCGCGGCTTGCAGCGCCCCCCGCCCCCGCCTGCCGCCTCCTCCCCATCCCCGCCCTGCACCCCTCCCTGCCAGAGGTCCCCGAGGGTCCGCAGGCACCAGGCTGGAGTCGCAGTCTTCCGCCTCGTGGTGCCGGTGGCCGTGGCCAGGTGCCCCCTTCCATCACCTGTTTCCTTACTACGAGATGCAGGGGATGCACAGCCATGTGGCCTTCTGCTGTTCATGCGATGTCACACGAGGTGCGCGGCAGGGTGAGTCGCCCAGCTGTCATCCTCAGGAGAGGCTGGGCTCCTCCGTCCCCACCTGGACTTGTGCGCTCCTCCAGTCCCTTCCACATGGAAACGCCTGTCCGCTCACCCGTGCTGTCACCCGTAAGAGACATGGGTGTCTCTCAGTGGACGTTTCCCGCACAACTGTGTAGACTCCTGATGACCTGGTGCGCTGACGCTGGGGTGACACGAATTACCTTGCTGTCTGAAATGAAAATACAGATGCACTGGCTGTGTCAGGTGGGCTTTGGGGTCAGCATAGTGAGCTACATGAGGTGCTCCAGCTGGGCTCAAACTTAGGAACCTCCTGCCTCAGCCTCCCAGGGTGCCAGGATACAGACATGCACCACCACACCTGGCTCTGTCTGTTTTTAAGACACCAAAAATTCCAAATAATCACGATTTCCTTTGCTTCATTCTCCTCTCCCGTAGATGTGTGCTGCTCATCTTCCGGCCGAGTCGGAGGCAGCAAACCATTACCAGGCCGTGTGCCGTGCTCTCTTTGCGGAGACCATGGAGCTCCACACGTTCCTGACCAAGATCAAGAGTGCGAAAGAGGTGGGTGTGCTGTGTCGTATCATTGGCATCCGGCATCGCCAGCGTTCTGACCGGTGCTGGGATCACTCAAGGAAGAAGCCGCCTAGGAAAAGCGAACCTGAGGTGTCAACCATCTGGATCCACTTTATAAAGCCAAAATTTTCATAAGGTTTTGCTCCAAGTGGGACACAAACACCCAGAATTGGTGGGGTCCACTTGTCGTGGCCCCTGCTTCCTGCCCTCCCTGCGCCTCTTCTGTAGGTGTCCATAGGGAGGGCTTAGGGCACAGGCGGGAGGGGCCCCATTTCTGATTGCTCGGGGAAGCCGGGATCTGACTAGGCGTGGTCATGTGAGGGAGCCTGGGAGTAACGTTAAGATCGTTCCAAATCCCTTTTAGCTATTATTTAGTATTGGCAGTGACCATGAGTGTGAAAGACTGGGTGAAGCCTGAAGAGACGCACTGCGGCTGAGTTAGAAGGGGTGTCGAGGTGTTGTTCATTCCGAGGCTCCTGCAGAGGTCTGGGAGGGGCCGAGAGGCAGGGCGGGCAGGCGCTGGGCATCATTGCTTTTACGACAGAAGGGCACTGTATACAAAGCACTGGCCAAAGCCTGCCGTAACCCAGCTGAGTAGAGATACAGTCACGCGTGTAAGAGGGAAAGAAGGACTCGCCAGGTTGCCAGGGGAGACTCATCGGCCCAGGGCACGGGAGTGAGACTGCCGCGCTGCAGCCTCGTGGCGGAAAGCCTCTGTGAGGGGGAACCTCCTAGTCGGTCGGTGGCGCCCCTGAGGGAGGAAGGAGCACCGTGCTCACTGTGTGTTGTGAGGCGTCCCGAGCTCTCTTTATCACAGTTTTGTAAGGCATGTGGGGGACTTCTTTCCTTTTTTAGGGGGTGATTTTTTGAGACAAGATCTCTCTGTCGTTCAGGCTGACTTCAAACTCATCTGGCAGTCCTCCTGGCTCGACCTTCTGAGGGCTGGGGTGACAGGCATGCACCACCACGCCCGGCATAGGCTGCATTTGAGCTTGGTCATTTCCAAGGCCTTCTGTGCTTGGCGGGCTGAGAGTCCTCCCCTGGCACGTGCTGTCTCCATGGTGGCGCTGAGCTGGGCATGAGTCCGCGCGTGGGGCTGAGCTGTGCTGTAGCGAAGCGGCTCAGGCTCCCTGGCAGCTTGGCAGATTGGGTCCCGGTTCTGATTTTCTGACGGGGTGATGTCTGCTGTCCTCGTGTGGGCTGTGGCTTCTTGTGGGTGCCATTTATTTTTTATTTATTTTTCTTTGCGGTGCCAGGGATTGAACCCAGGGAGTGCTGAGCTACATCCCCAGTCCATCTTTATTTTATTTTGAGAGAGGGTCCTGCTAGGTTGGGGCTGGCCCTGAACCAGGGTTCCTCCTGCATCAGCCTGCTGCGTAGCTGGAGTTAACAGCGTGCACACTGCACTCCCTGCGGCTGACGGCTTAACTTCCTCTTCCGGGTTCTGTCCTCTGCTCCTCCCGGCACCACTGCCTCCCTTCTGGAAGCTGTCAGCCGGGCGTCCTGTTGGTGCCTGTAGTGTGGTGATAGCCTCCAGGCTGCAGACTCATCCCCTGACCGTGGGGCCAGGGGTGGCTGAAGGAGGCAACTGACTGCCCTAGCTCAGCTCCCCCGGCCTCCCGCCCTCATCCCTGGCGCTGCCCTGACTTGAATCCCCTCGTAGAGCCCGAGGCCTGGGCCTCCTGGCCTGGGCCTCTGAGAGGCCTCCTGCCAGTCCCGTGGGAGGCTGAGCAATGGGCCGGCACTGTGGCTGTAACTCAACCCGTCCTGCCTTTCTCCCGTCCATCAGGGCCGCCCTTTGCCTCCTCTGTGTGTTTTAGGAAAGCCAGCACAAACTTGAACGAACTCAGCACCCGCGTGCTCGGAGGAGCCAGAACTCTGCTTTCCAACTTGTAGAGATAGCCAGCAGGGGCTGGGGATTTAGCTCAGCAGCAAAGCACCTGCCTGGCAAGCGCAGGTCGTGAGTTCAATTCCCGGTACCAGAAGAGAACCAGAAATAAAACAAAACAAAAAAACAACAAAAAATAAATAGAGATAGCCAGCAACACAGAGGGTGCTTGAGCCAGGAGGCCGCTGTGCAGCCCAGGCCAGGGAGGACCTGGCGGGACGCAGGCTGGGTTCCAGGCGCTGGGTCTTGGCGTGCTGTGGGTGAGGAGGCGCCACTTGCAGGGCTGGGCCTGTGGCAGAGCGAGTTTGCTCACATGCAGGGACCTAACGTGGCCACTGATGGCAGTGCTTGTGTTGATAGCCACAGTGGCGGGCTGGAGACAACCCCACCACGCTCAGCAGTAGAGCTTGCTGGGTGTGCATGGGTCCTGGGTTTTATTCCTGCCACAAGAAAGAGGAAGGAAGGGAGGAAGGAGAAACAGAGAAAGGGAGGGAGGGAAGGAGGAAGGAAAATGGGAAAGGAAAAGAAAGAGGCAGGCCAGGCAACTTAAAGGCATAGTGAGACTCTATCTCAAAAAATAAAGACGAAGCCGAACGTGGTGGTGCACGCCTGTAATCCCAGCACTCAGGAGGCTGAGGCAGGAGGATCGTTGGGCATTTGAGACCAGCCTGGACTACAAAGTGAGCTCAAGGCCAGCCTGAACTGCATAGTGAAACCCTGTTTCAAAAAGAGACCAAAAGATAAAAATAAAATAAAATAAAAGCGAGCTGGGGCTTCAGTGCAGTGTGATGGTGCTGGACCTAGGCCTGCACCACCCCAGCCACGTGTACTCCACGTGTCGGGTGGCTGCCATTCCGGCCCCCACACCTCGATCCATTGAGGCCTCAGCAGCCCACGTGTGGCCCGCTGTTCTCGGGGCACATGTCGACAGGCTCACAGGGCCTGGCCGGGTCGTGGTGGCAGTCAGGACCTCTGTGAGTACGGTGGGCCCATCCGGGCATCTGACCCAGGCCAGGGACCCTGAGGCCCAGGAGTGACCTCGCTGAAGTTGCGTGAAGGCAGCAGTGGTGGGCCTCGTCCCCAGCACCCGAGCGGGGAGCCGGGCATGTGCTGTGCGTGGGGCTGGGTACTCGGCTTTCCGACTGCTCGCTCCGAGGAGCACAGCTTCCGTCGGGGTCGGCCGCCCTGCTGTTGTCAACACTGCTCACCTTGTGGAAGCAGGGAGCAGAGGAGGGGCCGGGACAAGGTGGGACCAGGCTGCCCATGACCTCTCCTTCACTGCGCCCACCCCTGAGTTTCCATCACCTCCCAACGGCGTCAGGGTCGTGCACTGATGCAGGCGGAGCCTGTGACAGTCACCCTCTGCAAGGCCGTGTCCGAGCTCAGGAGACTGGGACAGCGCAGGTCCACACAGGCCAGTGGGATCGGGCACCCTGGGCCTGGAGGGCGGGTGACAGAGGCGAGGCGAGCAGGCGAGAGCAAGGTCCTCCCTGTGCGGGCGGCTGGCGGGGAGAGAAGCCAGTGAGCTCAGGGGCTGTGCCTGCACGCTGTCTGGTTCCTTGTCTGTGAGTCCCAACAGTGAGATGGAGAGCAGAGCCGGAGCCCGCCTCGTCCCCTCAGAACTGTCACCGCACTGTGGGAAAGGGCGGGGCAGCGCTCCCTCGGCTCCCTCCCCTGCCCTCCCTCAGGCCCCTTCCGAGGCTCTGGCTCTGCGTCCACGCTGCTGGCCCCTCAGAGCAGACAGAGCACCAGAGCGCAAGCACTTGGGCAAGAGCGAGGCCCCCACCAGCGCCCGCCCCAGGGCTGGGGCTCCAGACCGAACAGTGGGCCAGAGAGCTCTGGGGACACAGTCTGGCTCTGCCCCGGGTCTAGCCACAGGGGTTCTTCCAAACCACAGCACTCCCTCAGCTGAGGGAAGCTCGGTCTTCGCCTGTCTTACGCCTGCAAGTTTAGGACTGTGTAATGGAAACAGAGTGAAACAAGAGGGTGCGCTTCACTTTTATTCTAAGTTCCTCTTGCTGTTTGTTTTTTTTTTTCTCCCGGTACCGGGAATCGAACTCACTATGTTGTGCTTGCCAAGCAGGCGCTGTGCCACTGAGCTAGATCCCCAGCCCTCTAAGTTCCTCTTGAAAGTGCCTGCATTTCTACTTGACAAGTGTGCCTATTGTTACATTTTACTTCAAAGTTGCGATTATTCAGCATTTCTAAAACTCTTAATTTCACCTGAGTTACTCTGCTTTCTTTTTTTTTTTTTTTGTCTTTTTGAGACAAAGTCTCGCTATGCAGTTCAGGCTGGCCTTAAGCTCACTTTGTAGCCCAGGCTGGTCTCAAACTCACAACTACCTTAGCCTCCCGAGTACTGGGATTATAGGCGTGCACCACCATACCTGGCTTACTCTGCTTCTTTTTCAGCTGATTGTTCAGTCAGCCATTTGAATGAACAACTGTACAAAGCTGATGGAATTTTGATCATTTCAGCAAAATTTACTAAGAATTTTTTTTTTGGTACCAGGAATCGAACTCAGGACCTTGTGCTTGCCAGGCAGGCTCCTGTGCCACTGAGCTACATCCCCGGCCCCTTGTTTTTTAAAAGAGTACTCATGCGCAGGATTCAATTTGAAATACTGGTTGGGTTCATTTATTATTTCCTCCCTGTCCCAACCCTCATCAACACTTAAAATGTACTTTCCGGCTGTAATTCTCTTAAACAGGTGAGATGGCAACAGTGTTGAATTAAATATTGATTTAAAAAAATCTCTAGCAAAGATTTTTAACACTTTTTCTATATTAACTTCTTGTCCTTACATATTTCGGTTCCCATTTCTGCCCAGTTTTCATCACAGTGAGCAGTTTTTATCTTGACTTAAGATTTTTTAGTATTATCCTTTGTTATTTAATGTATAGTTCTGCACAGTTCTGGTTGGATTTTAAGAAAGTATAATCATAAGGATATATATTCTTAAACAACTTACCTATTTTGATTTTAAAAATTAAAAAAGTATAAATTAGATTGTAATGATTTTGTTATGAAAAACTTAATGTTGAATGATTTATTCATCTTTGCCTTCTGTCATACTGAGAAATAAATTGGATTTTTTGG